AATTATGCATCGATGCAGAATCATGCACATCAATGCATCATAAAAATTATAATATTCAACAGCTCTGTTGGTCGCTTTGGATAATAACATTTCTAAATGAATAAATGTAAAACCAGCTTAATATGAAGAAGCACCTAGTAACCGTTTCTAACTAAGCTGATCTGAAAAGTGCAAACACTGTGACTATAGCGCACTATGAGCAACACTGACTCAACCAGCCTGTTGAAATCAAAAAGCCACTATCATGATTTATTCAAGATTTAGTCAAAATGCAACTTATGTAAAGAACATAAACAGGTTCCCTCTTGTGCAACCAAAAATGATGCACATAAAAACGTCTCCTCCGATCCGATCCAGCCGGTTCATCGCGGCAGTGTTTATGTGGAAGCCGAGCTTTCTGCATCTCCCACAAAGCGCCAATCTTAGGTGAGAGATAAATGAGTGTAATTGCGTGTTCCTCCACAGGCCTAATTTCCAGCCCAATCACCAGAGTGATTAATCACAGAGCCGGAGCGCGTGTAAAGTTTTAACACACAAACCGCGGCGTCTTCTGGCCTCCGCGGGCGTCTCTTGCTCACCTAAGCCAATTTAGTCGACACAACGCAATGGGGGACCCCGGGGTGACGGACTACAAATCACGTAAACATGCTACAGGTTATTGTAAAGCTATTACAAAAGCTGCATAGCTGAAGCTGCAGCAGGGGGCTTCCAAAGAGTCCTGCATTTAATGAGAGAAATTTATTACGATAAGCCGTCATCGTATTGCACTTTACCTCAGTATTTGGGGGACGTAGACGCTTGGGATATTTTTTACCTTAAATGCACTTCAGAAACAGCGGGTATCATGGCCCTTCGGTTTGAAATTGTCCTGCTGAAAGATGAAATGTTTTCTGAGCTGTTATGCACTTTTTTACTGGACTCAAACGGCATCTTTTTCAGCATATACTGGCATTGTGTTGCACTCGGTCTTTGTTCTGTCCAGCGAGTCGGCCGGATGAAAAGCAGCGACACAGCGTGACGCCACATCACTGGACGCGTGGTGATTGTTAAGGTGTGAATGCCACCCATATCGCTTTAGGTTTCCACTGAAAAACCTTTATCTCTGGCTCATCGAACAACAAAAAACATGCTCTTTTGTGCCTCTCTTCTTTCAGGTAAACGTTTACTTCATTCTACTTCATAGCCCTTAAAAAGTCACCGCTGGTGACTCTGTGGCTTCTTTCCTTCAAGTTTCCTTCAAGTTCTAGTGCTTTTCAAGAACATTTTTGAGTATTTCAATTTCCATATAATGTCAAAATGAAATTTGAAATCAACCAGCCTTTCTTTCTTAAAGAGATAGTTCACCCAAAAATGAAAATTGTGGTATCTAAAATAAATAAATAAATAAAAATGACCATTAAAAAACAAAACATGTATTTATTTATTTATTGACTGACTGACTGATTAATTGATTGATTGGATAGGTCACCCTAAAATAATGTTTAAGTCATGTTTTACCTTCATGTCATTTCATTTCAAACCTGTTTGACTTTCTGTGGAACACAAAAGAAATACATTTTGGTGGATGTTTTAATGTTTCTTGTATATACAATGAGAGTTAATGTCCAAATAAATATTGGACCCTATTAACTTCCAATGTATGGACAAAACAAAACAAAACAAAACAAACAAACAAATCACAGAAAAATCTATCAAAATATCATATTTTACAGAAGAAATAAAGTCATACTTGGAATGGTTTGGAACAGCATGAGGGCAAGTAAAACAGAAGTTTTATTTATGAACAAATAAAATAAAATAAAATAAAATAAAAAAAATTACAAAAAGGGTTTTAAAAATAATATTTTTTATTGATTATTTTTTATATATTATTTTTTATTTATTTTAATTTTTAAGTGTAATATAACGTCCTTAAACACTTAAGACACTGTGTAGTTTTACTTTCACATATTTAAAAGGGTAGTCTTTAGTCTTAATTTTCACAGCTGTCATTCATATTCATTTGATTAAATGATTCTTTATCTCTGGGGTTTTATCCAGAAAAAAAAAAGGTAGTTCATTTAATGATTCACAGGTGACTTCGATTATTCACAATTATGTACTTACTAGAACAGCAATTTTTTCATCTGTGCATCACAGTTACTGTACGCTTGTATGCATCATAATTTCTTTGCTTAGTATTAGTTTCTAACATAAAACATCTCATAGTTTAATTGAAATCATTAAAGTTGAGTTTAAAACAATCACAAAGGAATGGTGCTTCAAAAATTCAGCAAAAAGAGAAAACTAACAGCACACATGAAAATAAAATCAAATATTTTTTAGCCTTCCAAACTAAACGTGGTTATTTAATGGTTAAATAATTTACAAAAGAAAGCAACATTCATTCTTTTTTTTCTCCAAGGATGAAAACGGAAGATGAAAAAGTCTCTTCTTACACACATCCAGAAATGTAGTCACAAAGGTTACTAGTTCTTTACAACAAAACAATCTCTAAGAATCCTTAATCCAGCAGTAACAGTCCTCATTCAGCGCCTCTATTGTGGAGCGAAGCCCTCGAGAAGCAGCACGCAAACACACACAGAAAGGAGGAGTGCACACAATTTTCCATGACATCTCCAAAAGCAAACAAACCTTTTGTTGCTCTGTATGTTTCATGGCTGCTTGAAAAGAGGAATGAACATGTTCAGCGGATCAACAAATAAACAGAGCTTTAAGGACAAAAAACTACTTCAAAACTAATAATATTCTAATAATTCTAGTCAGACAGAGAAGAATTGGGGTGATAAAGCACATCATTGTCATGACAATAATGTCATTATTTAAAAAAATCATATTCTTTGAGCAAAATGTATTTTCTTTCTTTTTCTTATTTTCTTTGAGCCTCTTTTCCCCATTAATTAACTTGCATGTTTACATTGTTTTCTATAATCTTAATAATGCATATGTCACTTATCTCACATTGTGACTAATGCCACTGAAAAGCAAATGTTAAAGGTCGCATTTCATCATATCTTGAATAAAAAGACATGGCACAGTCAAATTAAGTACCTGGTCAATGTCAAGTATCTGCATTAGCAGACATTATTCTACATGCAATTTGTTTAATTGGAATAGCATTCTATAGATTTTCATGGTCAATGGCAATATGAAGTGAAAAACCTACTTGATGTTTTCTTCAGAGCATCATTTAGTGTAGTGTACGTCATGAAAGCCATTGAAGCTCTGTTTCAAAACCTAGTCAAACTGTTTCTGTCTCAAAGCACCTGGTGCGCTAGAAATGCAGGATACCTTTCAGCTTTCTCTTGATATATCATTAATAGTTCTTTAATTTCCTTTTAAAGCATATATTAATATTTGTTAAATTTAAAATCAACAAGAAGTTAATAAATAAGATGAAATGTTGAATTATGATTACTGATTTTATATGACCAATTATATTATAAATTAAAATTAAAAATTTTAAATATATATATATATATATATATACACATTTGTTAACAATCTAAATCAACAAAATTAATAAGTTAAGATGAAATGCTAATTATGAATAATATATAACATATGCTAACATTTCAAATGAACACGAAGTTCAAAAATATAAAATAAATATACATACATTTAAATAAATAAATAAAAATAAATAAAAAAATATTAAAATATAAAAAATCTGAAATGTTGATTATAAATAATATTTATCTATGTATTTATTAATACAATTATTTTATTTTATTTTGTTTTATTTTATTTTATTTTATTTTAATATCTATTACCAAATATTGGCCAGGTTTTCATGGAGAGATTTGTGTGCCAGTTTGCTAGGCAGCTCACCAGGTCTGGAGCAGAGCTTGGGATTTTTATTTCTACAAAAATGCACTTTTTGTGCTCCACAAAAGAAAGTTTGACATGTAGGTAAATAAATGATGGCAGAAGTCTCATTTTGGGGCTGAACATGTATTCTTCCATTCCACGAGTAAACAAAAGCAAAGATCTGCAACAAGCCGCCTCAAAGCACTGCAGGTGCGTTCGCTGCAACGCTGTCTTGCCATCGCGCTGTTTTTCGCGACTAGAGTTTATAAATTGCCTTTGGGAGGAAATGTCAGACGGATCATTCTTTCCAATTGAAAAATGTCCAAAGCAGGAGCAAAGCAATAATGAAACTATTCTGACAAAAAACGGGAAAGCGATTGGCTCTGTACTAAATCTGACACACACTGATTGTTCTGCTGGACTCCAGTGTTTCGGTCCGGGTTCGGAGGTCTTGCGAGGTCACAGCACTGTATCTCTCAGACCGGTCACTTTTTAGGACACGGCCAAATAGGCAGGAGAGATTGGTGAGTTGAGCCAAACTACATTAGCCCAGCGGGATCAGACGAGATATTGAGCTTCGGAAAAACAAATCTTGTTAGGCGTTGTAAGCTGCCGTCAAACCGAATCAGGGAGGCCACGCTGAGTGCGGCAGTCCCACAATGCAATTAGAATCTGACCGCTTCATCACGCCGCACACCTGATGTTCCCGTGCGCACCGTGATTGTTATGTATTAGCGGCGAGCGCAGCTGTCTGAGAGGAGCCGGCTGATGTCAGATTACATATGCTTTTCATAGAAATGACAACGTTTCCCTCGCAGGTCCGTATCGCGGCTGACAGCTTTATCAACACGAGAAGCCATCTGGAACTACTAAGTCAGTGTCTTCTGACCGCAGATATCATATCAAATCGACAGTAGTGATGATTTTTGTGCGAAACAACGGATCTCGTTTCCGCCGCTTTCAGATGCAGATGCGATGGTATCGAGGCGCGTCTGGCGAGCACGAGTTCTGATTAGACTGATGTGACTGAGGCTTTATCTCACCACACACACACACACACACATATATATATATATATATATACACATTTGTTAACAATCTAAATCAACAAAATTAATAAGTTAAGATGAAATGCTAATTATGAATAATATATAACATATGCTAACATTTCAAATGAAGCGGATGCTCACCGCCGTCTGAGACGCCATGGACTGGTTATCTGAGAAGAGACAGATGAAACCATCATCATCAGAACCATCACAGCCGGACTCTGGAAGATATTTGCAGCACTAAAAGTTTTTAAAAGCAAAAATATCACATTAGCATTACAATCTGAATTCACTACACTTTAAGTCACTTCGGATTCAAAGCATCTGACAAATGCATAAACTCACGTAAATCACTCAAAAGCAGCTTTACAGTGGCAAACAGGGAAATAGCCTGTCAATAATGCAAGAGGTCAATAACAGTCATCTTTCAAGTTAAAACCAGTGAAAATCACTTATTTTTGTAAATAAATATTTTATAATTATACTGTATATTATCTATTGTGGAAAGAAAACAAACAAACAAATAAATAAATAATAAATAAAACACTGAAAAAAAATACTGTCCCTAACAAGTTTATTTGTCTTGTTTTTGTAATATCTTAGATAGATAGATAGATAGATAGATAGATAGATACTATCTAAAGCAAGAAAAAAATAAAAACAGAACAAGATAAATACACTGAAAAAAAAAGTTCCTAACGAGTTTATTTGCCTTGTTTACCAGTTAAAATCACTTATTTTTGTCAAAATCAAAAGAAAGAAAATAATATTTTATAATGATATTATATATTATCTAATGTAGGAAGGGAAACTGTAACGTGGGTTTTGTTTCATGTTCATTGTGTGCATGTCTTTTACTTTGTATTCATGCTCTTAGTCTAGTTTCCTGGTTTGTCGTGTGATTCCATGTTCCCTCATGTGTCTTGTTTCTATTGGTTGTCTAGTTTATGTGTCGTGCTCTCATTGGTTGGATTATGTCATGTGTCCCCCTTTTTTTGATTTATATAGCCCTTATTTTGCCATTGTTCCTTGTCTAGCTTTGTTTCTTATACCCACTGTTGGTGAGTGTCATGTTTTATGTTTAGGTTAGGGTTCGTGTTTTATGTTCAGGGTTAGGGTTAGGGTTAGGGTTAGGGTTTTATGTTCAGGGTTAGGGTTAGGGTTAGGGTTAGATATCCACTTCTGGATATCAATAAACTGCACTTGGGTTTCATCACACCTCACTTACAGTGGACTCTAATGTTACAAACAAAAAGCACTAAAAATAAGGATGGATATGAAAGGATGGATATTTAGTCTTCTGCCTGTGCCAGAAGACAAAATATATTCAAGAAACACTTGAAAAAAAAAAAAATCCTCATATTTTATGCAGTTTTTCCCCCAGTAAAAATATCAAAATATTTATTAAAACAAGAAACAAAATACTCATTAAGAGTATCATTCTGTTAAGGAAAGTTACTTTCGTGATCAGGTTTTCACCCCTAGTTTTTGCTATGGACACCCTCCCAGCATACTGTGGTCTGGTTACACTGACATACAGGCTACAACACATCACACAAGGGTTAGGGTTAGGGTTTTATGTCCAGGTTAGGGTTAGGGTTTTATGTTCAGGGTTAGGGTTAGGGTTAGGGTTTTATGTTCAGGGTTAGGGTTAGGGTTAGGGTTTTATGTTCAGGGTTAGGGTTAGGGTTAGGGTTTTATGTCCAGGTTAGGGTTAGGGTTTTATGTTCAGGGTTAGGGTTAGGGTTAGATATCCACTTCTGGATATCAATAAACTGCACTTGGGTTTCATCACACCTCACTTACAGTGGACTCTAATGTTACAAACAAAAAGCACTAAAAATAAGGATGGATATGAAAGGATGGATATTTAGTCTTCTGCCTGTGCCAGAAGACAAAATATATTCAAGAAACACTTGAAAAAAAAAAAAATCCTCATATTTTATGCAGTTTTTCCCCCAGTAAAAATATCAAAATATTTATTAAAACAAGAAACAAAATACTCATTAAGAGTATCATTCTGTTAAGGAAAGTTACTTTCGTGATCAGGTTTTCACCCCTAGTTTTTGCTATGGACACCCTCCCAGCATACTGTGGTCTGGTTACACTGACATACAGGCTACAACACATCACACAACCTGAACGTGGCATCAGTATATTCACAATGGAATCCCAATCACAGGAAACAATGTATCACACACAGAATGTCACATTTGAAACAAAGAATTCTCTTAACACATGCACTGGTTGTCATGACGACGGCAGAGTGTACACTGGCCACATCTGTGAGCGCCAGAAAAGAACAAACCCAAATGCTGTGATTTTGTCTCATTAGATTCCACTGAAGCACCACAGCTGTAGTGTGCATGCATTTTTAAAGCACGCAAAGTAAACTTCTTCATGCATGTTTGACACTAACCAGCACACACACAGGCCGCAAATGATGGCTGTTTGGATTTGGGGGTTCAAACCCCCCTAATTAAGACTTAAATGCCCTCAAATAATAAACAAATAAAAATTAGAACAGTTTATGTCTGAAGGCACTCCTAATGACTCTCTCCCAGCAGTTAATTCATCAGGAAGACAATTCTTCTGCAACCTTTTTGAGGAAATTAACAATTAGTAATGCAACTTCCAAACGCAGACAAACAACACTATACACAGAAAAATTTAATGATAAGAGCTTACTGTTTGGGGTTGAGAAAATGACATAAAAACTGACAAATGGATTGAAAATTGAGCTGCAATATACTTTTGATCATGGTCTTATTAAGCTACAATAAAATGGAAATGTTATTGGGAAATGTGTACATAATTAGTTTCATTTAAGTTCATATAAGTGAAATGATCTAGTAATTAAAAAAGCTCTCTTTTGCGGGGGCTAATTTCTGTGCTTCATTATTTCATTAGAAATGTTTTAATTTTCATAAGAGATGCTTCTCAGCACCACAGCAGGCCACGGATTGGGCCACCATTGTAAATGTAATGAGACATAATTAACTTTTTCTAATTAAAACCTTGTTGCTGTTATGCTTGTGTTTATTTACAGGGATGTACAGTATACATGCATGTTATGTGATTCAGCATATGTAAATTAGCGCTGCCTAATTAAAATATGCAGTTTTATTGTCTTGTTTTTCAAGATTTGCCTATGCATTATAAAACACAAACATTTCTAAACCGAATACATTGTTGGAAAACCAAATTCACCCCAAAAATCAAAAGAAAGAAAGAGAATTTAGTATATAATTATAATATTATATATGTAATCCCGGAAATAAAATAAAAAATATTTAAATCTCAAAGTATTCATTGTGGCATTATTTACTGCTGTGCTGAAAAGAAAAATCAATTAAAAATCAAGTATTTTAAAGCTGACACTAAATTCTTAATGAATTTTGAAAGTAGAAAAGGTTAAAAATCAATGCTCAAAAAATTTAAAAAGACAACAAACAAACAAATAAATAATATTGGAAAGTATTAATCGCGGTGGTGTTTACCTGAATATAGCCTGATATTATTCAGATATTAAAAAAATTAAATAAAAATAAAATCAAGTATTTTAAATCATTTTCAAACTAAACTAAGAAACTGAATTTTGAATAAATTTTGAAAGGAGAAAAGTTATATCATATAAAAAAATCTGAGATTAAATACTGAAAAAAAAAAATCAAACAATTTAAATGGCAAAGTATTCATCATGATATTATTTACTACATTGCCTGATACTGTTCTGATTTAAAAACAACAACAACAACAAAAGAAAGCATTTGTCACTTTATTATAAAGCATTTTTGTTTTTTATTTTGGGGTAGAATTGGACACATTTTCATGAGATTCACTCAAATAAACCAAGAACAGAATAAGAACACAAAGTGCTGATGCATAAAGAACAGATTTCAAGTGTATCATTCCCCTAAAACTAGCAATACTTTCTCTGTGCTTATATAGAGCAGACAACACATCAGAGTTCTATTTAACTAGCGATGTGCGTCTGCGATATGAAGAGAAGGGATTTGAGCAGATTACAGGATGCGGAGCTTCTGCTAGCAGCCCAGCAGATGTTGGACGGCCACATATCTTCATGACATATTACCAGTCAGACACTATATTAGAAAGTCTGCTCCTCAATCCTGTTTGAAAGCATGTCGCAGAGCTCGGCACGTGACTTACACGGAAATTAAGTCTTATGGGGTTTGGCAGTACCTTAAATCCAAAAGGACAGGCGCGTGACTATGCACTGCTATCTCAACGATACTTGTCTCAAACATGTAGACGACACGGCAATAAACACTGATTGTTCGCAATGCCAAATCACAAATGGCAACACAATAATAGATTTCTAATATCAGATGAAGACGCACAATACAACAACATTTATTTGCTGATTAATTGCAGTGTCAATGCACCACTGTCTTAATTAAGTTGGAGGTCAATGCATATATGTCTAAATATAAGAGATACAATATTAAAGTGAATGAAAACTTTGCATTCTAAAATAAAATAAATAACATAAAAAAAAAGAATAATAACTGTGCTGTTTTAATTTAAAAAAGTCAATTACAAATAAAGTAAATATATATATATATATTTTACTTTGCAAAGTATTCAATTATTATATTGCCTAAAATTGTGCTGATTAAAAAAATATAAATACAAATACAAATGAATTATTTCATTCATTTTAAAAAAATTCCTGGCCAGTACAATTTCTTCTTTTCCTTACAAGTCACTGGCATTGGACATTAATCTTGGTAATGTGGAGTCATTGCATATACTGTCTACAAGAAAAAAGTCAAAAACTGAATGCATCCTCTTAGTCTTTCAAAATATAATATTTTGAAATTACAGAGTTCAAAATGGCAATGTGTGAATCAGTTTCTTTGCACGTTGTGAGAAAACATATTTAAATAAAGTCTAAACAATCTTGTATGATTCATATCCAGTCAAATGTTTGTCTCATAAAAACAGAAGAAAAGAAAGAAAAGAAAGTTCAGATTGCCGTTGGTGCATTTCTGACTCATAAGAGCTCCAGCGGGAGTTACGCGCGGCAGACGAAACCTTCCCGGCGTGATAGTTGGCACTGAATTAGTCGAACTGACAGAGACTGCAGACCTATGGCCTAAATATTAAATTAAACTCGTCTTGTTTTAGCAGCTCTCCCGGTTGCACTAACCGTGCCTAATGAGCTTCAAATGTTGTGCAAATTGACAAAACAATA